GGGGTGGGGAGTGGGGAGGGGAGCCTGCGAATGTGAATGGGGTGCATTTGTTTCTTTTACTGCATTTCCAACTGGGTCTTTCTGGGGGTGCTGGACCCTCTGCTGCTCCCGTGATAGAGACCCAGAATAGAATTCATAGCTCGTGACTGCACAGTTTACTCCACAAAAGTGCTCTTCACATCCGTGACACCGTCCTGAGGTTTGCTTTTCTTTCATTCTTTCTTAAGCTTTCTTTAATAAATGCCACATTTAAATGTTTCCTTTCTCGTCTCCCGGTAGTCATTCTGCGCTTCCTGGCAAAAGGGAACTAACTGGTTGTGGGTTAGGGGGGATTGGGCTTGGGAAGCTAGGTTTCAACTCAAAGATCCAATGAAGAGGTGAAGGCGGGGCAAGATGGAGAGGCCTGGGGAGGAGTGAGACATCAAGTCCCAGGCACCATCCTGGAAGCAACAGGCTTTGTTTTCTTTTACGGTTATTATTTTATATTTCATTTAAGCTCAGCGATCTGAGTCAGGCGAGACGACAAAAGGGCCCTGCGGGAAGATTACACTTCCGTGCTGGACTCCGGCGGGAAAACAGGCTTACACAGCTAATGAAAGAAAGAGACGGCTTGGCCAGCCTTCAGGGAAGACATCTCCCCTGATCAACGTCAGCATGAGCAGGTCGAGATGCTGCTCAAAAAAACCCAAACAAAACAAAACAAAAAAGCATGGGAAGAAAAGTAATTGTGCTACATAATGAGCTAGGACCCCCAGGGGTAAACCATTGCTACTAAACCGCGAGATGGTTGCTTGCAATATCCTGTTTTCCAGTGGCTGGGTGGAATGAAAAGACACAAGGCCTTCCTTTTTAATGTGGTCAGCCCAGGGCTTAGCAAAGGGGCCCTGATATGTAGACCTGAAGCTGAAGCTGGGATGTGGGGCCAGTGTGGAGCTACCGATGTTAGCTGGGAAATTACGGACTCCGAAATTGAACAGGGTTTACATGAGATCTGATGAAGCCCTGTCTGTGACAATAACCCAAGAGGTTTTGAATAGTTGTGTTGTACTAAAAAATCAAAATCAAAATAGAGCCACTGAGTCGATTCTGAGTCATAATGACACTCTAAGACACAGCAGAACTGCCTGGTGTGTTTCTGAGACTGCAGGTCTTTATCAGAGTGGAGTCGGAGCCTAAGTATGTTCAAGAATCTAAAAGATCCATGATGACACTTTAAAAGGTTCAGTGTTTATGCATTTGACTGCTTTGGGAAAGGTTGAAGAGTTGGTGGCTGGGCCGACTGGGGGTCACCTCAGAAAACAAGCCTTCCCACCTTTGAAAACGCTGTGGACCCGGTATACTCGGCACATCTAAGGCCACGAGGAGTCAGAATCTACTTGATAACATTAACCATTGCACGACATGACATTTGGCGATTAAATCTCAAGGCGCCTTCATTGCAGTCATTCACTGACACACACCTTGAATATCAATCAGGGTCCCATTTACATGGGAAGAAGCACAGCCCACTGTAAAATCAATGATTCCAAGGGTCCAGATCAAAAAGGTTTAAATCAAAAGGTTTCGCTACCAGGCCAATACTACATGTCTATTTCACGTCCAGAGTAAATCTTGCCAGAAATTAAGACCTAGGGTGGTTTTTAAATGCTAAGGGGTATCAGATTGGGTGGAGGGTGGAGTCTGAGTTTCTCTGTGTTACTCTTATCAGCAGGTGTTTGCTTGTTCCTTTGTTGGAGGGGGGGCTTTGTTGTTATGCTTTGTTATCTGGGGGAGAGGGCATCATTGGCATGAGTTATGGGGGACAGTTTAGTTTTGCTCTTGGGTAGGATGAGAAATGGGCTCTTCTGTGAACAGTTTCTGTGGTACTGAGTTAATCTGATGCCTCTCTGTTCCCAGGCAGAAACAATTGCAGGGAGGGAGTTCATTCTCGGCAAATGGACATTTAAAATTAAACACTTTGTGGCTGTAACACCTGTTGGGGTGGGGGCGGGAGTTCTTTTTTCCACAGGAGTCTGAGCAGAATCAAAGACTGCTGATCCCTTGTCTATCCTTGGGTCTCTTTTGTCTTCTCTACCTCTTTTCTGTACCTCACACTTGTTTCCTGCACCTCAAGAGCAAAATGTACAGTGTCTCCTTACCTCCATCCTCCACATGTACTCCCTCTACCTCCAGAAATCCTGACTGTGTGCCAAACCAGAACCTGAAAAATGTAGCCTTAAAAAAGAAAAGATACATGGGCACAGCTCTGTATCTTTAATGCCCATGATCTGTGCATTATAGCCAAATGCACACAGTCTGAAAATATCACAGCCCCAGGGACCATTTCCTGCCAACAACCATCTCTACAGCCTTAGATCCATTTGTTACTTAGAGAGATGGCAAGTGGTTCTGGTTTTATAGATGCGGTGATGTGTGCAAGAAGCTTTTTACACTCCCTATTCCCTGTGGCTACACAGCAACCACTTTCTCAGGCCCCCAAAGCACCCCCTTGCCTCACTCTTGCCTTTGATTCTCTTGTTTTCTGATTCTAACAATGCGTTCAATGAAACTTTTCCGTCATAGCCAAAGCTTATGGAAGGCTGATCCTTTACCACAGATACGCTGTAAGGAATGTGAGTTTGAAAGTCATTTTTGTGTTTCATCTAAGAAAGCCGTGTCAGCCTTAAGAGGCCTGGTGACTGAGATGGGTGCAAACAGGCCCATTTTACCATCCCACATTAATATCCAGTCATTGGTGGTTAGTGATTAGTGGAGGCCTTGGTTAGGGAGAGAGGTAATAGGTTTCTGTAAACGTGTTCGGGATCTGACACAAGGGCAGAGGAGTGAGTCTGGTACTTCCAAAGACCTTTTGGAAATACAGCAGAGACAGAGAGAGGTCTCACAGGACACAGCTAGTAGATGACCAGGGTCATAGCTCCTCTCAGCCTGGACAGACAGCCAATGGGACCCTTTGAGCCTTATTGGGTGGCCTCTCACATACGTAGCTTAACCAACTGGTGAGACGTGTAGATCTCCTTAAGATGGTTGATATAAACCTTTTCACCATCTGGAGATCTTGAGGAAAGTAAAAACAGAGAACATACTATTGTCATGTCTGAGATGAGATTTATTCTGGGTGGATGATCTCTGTGTCTGACTGCTGATTTCCAAGGCCACCTCGTTGCTCGCTTGGATCTCTAACCAGCTCTGTCTCTGAGTCTCAACGATGCTAACTCTGAGTGGTGAAGGGTGGGAAATACTAGATCAGATGTAGGCAGTTTTGATTTTAGTAGTCTCTGAGGAGCCAATAGCCTCATCAATCAAATAAGGAAGATGAATTCTTTAAAAAATATATATATCAAGTGTATAATTCTACACAATTTAGCATTTTTTATTCTTTTAGGATGTAACATAGATCTGTTCATTATGCACCTTAAAGCAATCCAATCCCTCCAATCACTCCCACTGAGTCGACTCAGACTCATAGCGACCCTAGAGGTCAAGATAGAACTGCCCTCAGAGTTTCGGACTCTGTAACTGTGGGCGTAGGACACCCTGCCTTTCTCCTGTGGAGCAGCTGGTGGTTTGAACGTACCTTTTGGATCACAGGCCAAGGAGTAACCACTAGCCACCTGGGCTCCTCTGTACCTTAAATCAGACCAAGTTATTCACCACTGAGTTAGTTAATTGTGCCAGCCTGGCCAATAATCACATGTGGGGCTAATTAAAAGGCGGAGGGATAAATGGGTGGTGAGCCTCGCTTTTCTAGTTCTCGGGTCTCTTGTTTTGTGATGGTTGCACCGGGTGCACCTGCCTTAGCAGTTCCCTGCTTCAGCTTGCAAGATTGACTTCCTCCAAGACATCCCCAAGGAAGGAGAAGCTACATGGACCTATCCCGATGCAGCCCTGGGTGCTGGAGCAGCCGTGTGGAGACCCCTGCTAGTGCTGAGATGCTTGTTCGTTCACTGACTCAGCTTTCTTCCTGCAGTCAGCATCATTGCCTCTGTTTTGTGAGGTGGAGGACTTTGTGGACTGGTGTTGGGTTAATGGGTTAATGTTGGACTTGTGGGCTTGGGCAGCATTGGGTTGGGATGTTTTCGTGATGCACATTTTCTTTACAGAAGACTCTCTCTTATACATGAGTTGCTGTGGATTTGTTTCTCCAAAGTACCCAGACTAACAAAATGTCAGGCCTCTGTCTAGGCCTTTCCATGGTCCTTTTTAAGCAGACAGGACACACCACCTAACCAGTGCCTTCCATATTCTGGAATGTCAGGTTGTCACCAGGTGAAGCGATGAGAGCCAAGCCTAGGGAACTGGGAACAAGGAAATGACAAGTCACTCTTCCAGAAACACGTTCAGACTAATACGAGGTGTTGTTTATGATAAATACATGGGTGTTTGAAGACTAATTAAGAGGCAATTTTTCTCCCCCAAAGCACTTTCTTTCTTTTTCCTTTTGAGCTTCTGCGGCGGCACACAGCAGCTGTTCCTCATGCAGT